TATATGCTTAACATTGCTTGATATCCAAGCATGTACACTCAAATACATTCACATGCTGGGTCCTGTTATGCTGGTAAATAGAACTAATGGAAAGATTTTTAAAATCGTGTTTGTGTGTGTGTGAAGTAGGCAAGCTGCATTGCTTTGGTGAACATACTGTGGTCAGAGGACAACTCATAGGAGTCTGAGTCAGTTCTCTCCTTCCACCATCTGGGCTCTGGGGACGGAACTCAGTTTGTCAAGCATATCGACAAGCACTTTTACCTGTTAAAGCTATCTTGCCAGCCCCCAGAAGACTTTTTAAAATTCTGTGGTATGTCTCCTTTAACATTGGTCCTGTTTAATAAGCAGCAGTTTACATGTAGAATGGTTATAGAACAAAAACACAGCAAGGACCCAGTAGTGAACATTTGTTTCTGTAGAAATCAATGGATGAACTTAGATAATATTTCAGAGACAGCTCTGCCAGTCTGGGCAGTATGATGCTCACCTGTAACCCACACTCAGGAAACAGAGGCTAGAAACTCAAACTCAAAGTGAACCTAAGTTACATGGAGACTCTATGCCAGAGAATGAGAAGAAGAACCTGGTCTTCCAGAGGACAAAATTCCAAGTTACTTGGTTAGAGTGGTCTTTCATTTTTATACCCAAAATTGTATATACTTCATATTTATAAACATTTGTTTAACAAACTTAACATAGAATTTACTAGTTAATCTTCTTAGAACCTTTTCAAGTATTATTGCATCATCATCATATTATTATATCAATTGTTATCATGCCCATTTTCCAACAGGTTAGTGGTTGGTAATGTTCCAAGTTGACTGTTTTTTGTTTGTTTGTTTTCGGTTGTTTTTGAGACAGGGTTTCCCTGTGTAGCCTTGTCTGTCCTGGAACTAACTCTTTAGACCAGGCTGGCCTCTGCCTCCAGATTGCTGGGATTAAAAGGTATGCATTACCACTGCCCAGCTCCAAATTGGCTGTTTTTTGTTTTTTGTTTTTGCATTGATAAAATAACTATTTTAACTTTACTGACTAAAAAAGTAATTTAAATGTTTAAATCCCATAAATATTTCTGGCTTTTAGAAACCTGTGAATGTCAGTATGAGTATACACTTGTGTGGCTATACTACCACAGTCAAGGTACAGGTAATTCCTACCCACATTTCCCTCTTGTCCCTTTGCATCATTCCCTCACATCCCAACCTAACCCCATCACTGTAGCTTTGTCTTCTGGAAAGGATCTTAGAGACAGGATCATACAGTATGTATCTATAAAGATGACTTCTTGTATGCAGTGTCTTTGAGGTGTATCCACGTTTCTGTGCACATCAGCAGTTTGCTGGGTTTTATCATTAGGTAATATCCCATTGTTGAGTGTACCATTAATTGTTTATCACTCATCCTTTGAAGACATTTGGAGTACTTCCAGTTTTGGGTGGTTATGAACAGAGACACTATAAACATTAACTGGCAGGTTTGGGGGGGCACTGGGTCACGTGATGTATGTTATCACTATAAAAAGCCACTAGTCTGTCACTAGAGCTATTTGTTTGTGTTTTTGGAACAGCTCTTGTGTAGTCTACTCTGGCTTTGAACTCAGGTTCCTACTGCCTCAGCCTACCAAGTACTGTGATTGTACCACCGCACCTGGCTTCCCTGAATTTTTATTTTATTTTATTTAAGACAGGCTTTTAACTGTGTAGTACTGGCTAGCCTGAAACTCATATAAAATTGTGCTGGGCTGGAACTCATGACTACCCTCCTGCTTTTGCTTCCCCAGTGCTGGCACTATAGTATGAGACACCATGTCTGTCTCTTGACTTTTTAAATTTTATTTAGATTTAAGTTTAATCATTATTGCATGCATGTGATGTCTCTGTGTAAGAGAGAATGCGGTGCTACGGAACTAGAGACAGGAAGGGACTCACGGGCTAGCAAGCAGGCTCCAGACTCATTGAGAGTATGTTTGTGGTGTGCATAATGGAACTGCATGAAACTCATCAAAATAAGCCTGACCCTTCTCACAGGGTTTGTAACCCCAGGAACATGGTCTCCTTCTCACACACTCTGAAATCCCCTTTTCCCACATGGACCTAGTTGGTTTCAGTCAGTGTATATCTATATCATAAATACAGATGATCTTGTAATATTTGTGTATCGGTATGTTCCATTTTGTTGTTTACAGTTTTTGATAAAGTAGATAATGTTAGAGGGATGGATGGCCCACTCACATGTTATTATACACTTGTAGTGGTGAATTCTTCCCTGCCTAGCACCAAAAGCAGGCACACCTCAGAATTAGGAAAAGTGCTGAACTGCACTCAGGCAAGTTGTTCCAGATTCACAGTGTCCTGAGCTGTAGGCAGCAGTGCTGGTTAATGACAAAAGTCAGTCAAGTTATCTTGGCATTGCATTAGTCATTTTGGGACTTTAGCCATAAGACATATTTACACATGTTTGTACATGGGTTCTGGTAAAAAAACCAAAAACCAAGCCCATTTGCTCATTGATAGTCTTTACCAAATAAACTGAGAATATGCATTTCCAATGCAGGGTGGATGCTGGCTGGGAGGGGTAGTAAGACAACCAAAACTCCAAAATGTTTCTTTTGAGAGAAGCAAGCAAGCAAAGTAGATTCCTCCCCCCCAAGAAAATCTTTATTTATTGGTTTGTTTGTTTTTTTTTGTTTTTTTTTTGGGGGGGGGCCGGGTTTCTCTGTGTGGCTTTGGAGACTGTCCTGGAACTCACTCTGTAGACCAGGATGGCCTTGAACTCACAGAGATCTGCCTGCTTCTGCCTCCCAAGTGCTGGGATTAAAGGTGTGTGCCACCAATGCCCAGCAAAGAGAATTTTTTTTGTTTTTTTTTTCGAGACAGGGTTTCTCTGTGGCTTTGGAGGCTGTCCTGGAACTAGCTCTTGTAGACCAGGCTGGCCTCGAACTGACAGAGATCCGCCTGCCTCTGCCTCCCGAGTGCTGGGATTAAAGGCGTGCGCCACCAACGCCCAGCAAAGAGAATCTTTTAATGTGATTCAATACATGCAATTACAGTAAGTTATTTTATGATGTATTTGAATGATTTTATGTTTACAGAAAAGTTGCAGAGAGGTACACACTTGTAATTCCAGCATTCAGGAGGTTAGATGACAGCTTAAGCTACACAGTGACCCTGTGTGAAAGAGAGAAGCAGGGGGGCCGGAGAGATGGCTCAGAGGTTAAGAGCACTGGCTGCTCTTCCAGGGGTCCTGAGTTCAATTCCCGGCAACCACATGGTGGCTCACAACCATCTACAATTCAACCTGGTGCCCTCTTCTGGCATGTAGGTAGAACACTGTATATGTAATAAATAAATAAAATATTAAAAAAAAAGAAAGAGGCAGGGGTTGGGGAAGGATGGAGGGAGAGAGAGATGGAAGAAAAAGGTTTGGAAAAAGCCACCTGTACTTTACTCAGTTTCTCTATTGATAAAGTCTTATGTAGCAGTTTCTCAGAATTAACAAACTGAATTTATTCCTTTTAGCTAGATACAGAGTTCGGGTTTCACTAATTTTTCAGCATACATACTTTTTCTGTTTGAAAACAAATTAAGCTTTTAAACATTAAATTCTTGATCCCTGTCATAGTTTAATTTTATTTATAGCATTTATTGTATACATATGTGTGTTATACATAATTATATGGATCTCTATTTGTTTAAAAAGTGTTATCTTCAACATTAATATCTCAAAAATTATCTTTTAATATTCATAGACAATTCTGCCCAGGGCAATTTTAAGGTAGGGCTAAAGACCTTTCTCCACCCTTCTTGTGTTCCTGCAGAAACATGATTTATAATCACCTGTAAGTGTGCTTCCTGCACAGCGCTGCCTTTTCCAGTGTGGTTAGGGCTCCCATTTCCAGGAGCATGGGGAAATAGCCACTTTCATTTACTAGGAGGTTGACCTAAGAGAATGGTAGTCAGGGGTCTCTTATGCAGGTGCTTTCATTGTTAGTTAATCCATTTAGATATCTTGTGGGTTGTTTTGTTTCTAGAACTAGGGACTGAACCCAGGGGCTTATGCATTCTAGACAGGTGCCTCCCTCATCTCCAGCCCAGTCTGGTGGTGCTGGCCTTGAGGCAGAATCCCATTGGATATCATTCACTCTATCTTTTATGCATAGAATTCCTGCTGAGGCTGGCTGCTGCTACCCATCCAGACTCACTACATTAATTTGAGTCATTTCATTAAGCAGATGAGTTATGGAAGAGAGGGAAGGCATTGGTAACATCAAGTAGATATGGCACTGTAAAATTATATTTTTATTTTCTGTGAGCGTGTTTGAAAGCCAGAGGACAGTTTTGGTCAGTCAGTCCTCTTTCTACCATGTGGTTCTGAAGATCAGGGACGGATGTGTTAGCTTGATGACAAAATATTTTTACCTTTTGAGCCATCTCTCTGGTCAAAGATGTGCCCCTCCCCAGATTTATTTTTATTTTATGTGTTTGGGTGTTTTCCCTGTGTGTCTATAAGTGTACCATAGCTATTCAGTGCCCAGTGGAGGCCAGGAGAGGGCATTGGATTCCATGGAACTGGAGTTGAGAATGGTCATGAGCTGCCATGTTGTACTAAGAAACAAATTTGGGTCCTCTGCAGGAGTAACACATGTTCTTAACTACTGAGTCAGCTCTCCAGCTTTTCAGATATGGATTTTTTAAAAATAATTAATTTTGGAACTGGAGAGATGGCTCAGAGGTTGGGAGCACTGGCTGCTGTTTCAGAGGATCCAGATTCAGTTCTTAGCACCTACATGGCAGCTCATGGTGTCTAACTCCAGTTCCAGGGGATCTGACAACCTTTAGTGCACATAAAAATAAATAAATTACACGTTAAAATAATGAAATTTTTAAAATTATTTTTTATGTGTAGAATGTTTATTTATTTGTTTGTTTTGGGGGCAAGGTCTCACTAAGTAGTTATAGCTGGTCTGGAACTCACTCTGCAGACTAAGCTGGCTTCAAACTCAGCTTCAAACTCATAGAGAACCTCCTGCCTCTGCCTCCCAAATTCTGGAAGATTAAAGGTACTGTATGAGCTGGGTGGTGACGGCTCATGACTTTAATCCCAGTACTTAGAGGCAGAGGCAGGTAAATTTCTGAATTCAAGGCCAACCTGGTCTACAGAGTGAGTTCTAGGACTAGGGCTACACAGAGAAACCTTGTCTCAAAAAAAAAAAACTAAACAAACACACACACAAAAAAAGGGAGCATATGAACAGTTTTCTTGTGTTGCCTGCATGTATTCCTGTCTACCATGTGTGTGGCATTACAGGTAGCTGTGAGCTGCCATGTGGGATCTAGCCCATGTCCTAGAAGAAAGATTAGCCAGTGCTCTTAACTGCTGAAGACTCACTCCAGCTCCTTTTATTATTTTTAAAAACAGGCTTTCATTTAGCCCAGGTTAGTCTTAACTCCTTACGTAGATGAAACTACTGTGAACTTGTTATCCTCCTGCTCTCACCTCGGGTGCTGAGATTACAGGAGGCTGCAGCAGCGCTCGGGGTCTTCTGCTTGCTAGGCAAGCGCTGTGCCCACTGAGCACCAGGTCCCCCCCCCTTTTTTTTGTAAAAAGCCTTTTAAGCATTCTAGGAAACAATGACATAGGGACAAATTTACAGTCTCATTAAAAAAGCAGAGGAGCGACAGTAAATCTGAAGTACATCTTCCATTTTTTGGAGTCAAAAAGCAGAAAAGAGGTTTGGCAGTTGTCACATACGTTAGTGAGACTAATGAGCTAAGTGAGGTTGTCCTGGCTCCGTGCGTGTGTTGTCAGTGCTTTGGGAAGAGCATAGCATTGGGTGTTTGGGGGCATATATTCTTTCTCTTAAAGATCTCTCCAAGTTCAAGGCCAGACTGGAGTGAGGTCCTTTCTCTCAAAAGAACGGGAAGGAGGCAGGAAGAGAGAAAAGGGTAAACTTAATATATCCATCTAGCCAGTTTCAGTTTCATTACCCATATATGGAAGTTTTGCTTATGAATATTTGTATTCTTTAAACTTCTCAACCTGTAGCCCCTATCATTAATTTGAAACAATTTCAGATGTTATTGTTTAATAGTATAAGAACTCTTTTTTAAAGCCAGCTGCCAGCTGGGGCTGTAGCTCAATTGATAGCATGTTCACCTGACATGCTTAAGGCCCTGAGTTTGATCTTCAGCACCACATAAAACTGGACCTAGTAGCACACATTTGCAATTCCGGTATTCAGGAAGTAGAGGCAAGAGGATCAGAAGTTCAAGGTCATCTTTGACTATATAGTGAACTCTAGGCCATCCCGGGCAACAAAACAAATGAAAAGGACAACCACCATTATTATACTCAAAAACAAACTTTCTGATTACCTTTAATCTTGGCACCTGGGAGGCAGAGGCAGTCAGATCTCTTGATTTTGAGACCAGTCCAGTCTGTTTAGAGTTCCAGACCAACATGGTGATACTGTCTCAAAATAAAAACACAGCCCTAGGAGGAGGGGGCGCTGCAGGATGGTTTTCCCTTTGTTAACTCCCTTTAGATCTCTAGGCTGGCTGACTATGGAGCTTCCCCTCACTCCCCACCTTTGCACTTTCTTTGTTGAAGAATCCGGTCATTTGTTGTATAGTTTCCTATATGAATTTTCTGATTGTATTCATTTGATGTCATGTGACATACTCCACAATTTTTTGTTTTGTTTTGTTTTGTTTTGTTTTTTCAAGACAGGGTTTCTCTGTATTGCTTTGGAGGCTGTCCTGGAACTCCCTCTGTAGACCAGGCTGGCCTCGAACTCACAGAGGTCCACCTGCCTCTGCCTCCCCGTGTGCTGGGATTAAAAGCGTGCGCCCAAAACGCCTGGCTCCACAATTCTTTTTATGACCACAATTTGGTTTTAGCTCCCCGTGCTTGATCAGATTACAGTTCAATTCTTGGCCTGCCATGGGGGAAGATTATTTAATAGGCAATAGCATGCAATTCTAGCAAGAAACATCCTTTCTTTCTTGGCATTGTTACCCAACCCTTGATTAGCATTGCTTAGGTATTCATTCATCAGGAGTTGCAGAGCAATATGCGGTTGTATAGTTCCTCCTTCACTTATTAGCTGGAATACTAACAAAAAGGAATTCCTCCCTTTCTGGCAGTGACATCCTCCCTATAAGAATATCCCTCTCAGAAGAGAAGAGGAAACAAGCGCCTGGTGCAGAGCCCCAGTTCTTGCCTTATGGATGTGAAGTGCCTAGGGTGCTATAAAATCACAGTGGTCTTTAGTCATGCACAAATGATAGTCTTGTGCGTTGGCTGCTCCACTGTCCTCTGTCAGGCTACAGGTAGAAATGCAAGGCTGAAGAAAGGATGCTCCTTCAGGAGGAAGCAGCACTGATTTACAATGTGTGGGAGCTATCCCAATAAACAACTTTTGGCTTAAAAAAAGCAAAAACTAGTCAGCTCATTCTGTAAGCCCAGAAGTAAGGCTGAAACAGGAGAATGCAAGTTTGAGGCCAGCCTGGGCTGCATAGCAAGACCCTATCTCTAAATTAATTGAGGATATTAATTTATTTCCAAACTGCATATAACAACATCTGTTCTGGGTAGCGCTGGGAAATTCCATTTCCTAAAAGAAATACCTGTCTCCAAAAACAGCTATATGCCTCCAGGATTTATACGTTTTGAGCTTTAAAATTATTAAACTTAGTATAGTGGTGGTAGTGCACACACTTTCAATCCCTTGAGAGGCAGAGGCAGATGGATCTCTGTGAGTTTGAGGCCAGCCTGTTTACAAAACAAGTTCCAAGATAGCCGCAGAGAGAGAGAGAGAGAGAGAGAGAGAGAGAGAGAGAGAGAGAGAGAGAGAGAGAGAGAGAGAGAGAGAGAGAGAAAAAGGTACATTTTGATATAATCAAAATCAGATTTTATTTACTTACATGTGAGGGTCGGTAGGGTTTGCATTGTGCTTACTTATGTGTGTGTATACATACATGTGGAGGACAGATGTCAACCTTGGGTGTCATTCCTCATGAGCCCTCTACCTAATATTTTGAGACACCAGTACTTGCTGATCACTAGGTTAGGTTGGCTGGCTGATGAGCTCCAGGGAATCATCCTGTTTCTGCCTCTTTAGTACTGAAATTGTAAACATGCACTGGCCTTTTTTGTGTGTTTATTTTTGTGTTTTCCAGACAGGGTTTCTCTGTGTAACAGCTCTGGCTGTTCTGGAACTTGCTTTGTAGACCAGGCTGCCCTTGAACTCACAGAGATCTGCCTGCCTCTGCTCCCAAGTACTGGGTTAAAAGTGAGCGATACCACCAGGTTTTCACAGGTTCTGGGGATTGAACTCAGGTCTCTAATGCTGAGATAGCCCTTTACCAACTGAGCTGTCACACCAGTCCCCACAGACTCATTCTTGATTCTAGCAAGGGTGTGTTTGTATGCATATATATATATATATGTATGCATGTGTGTATATATATATATATCAAAGTGAGTTATCTTAAATGATGCTTTATATAATTCGAGAAATCTCATACACAGTTAGTTGTTCTATATTGAAATACTTGCCTAACATGGTCCCAGACTTGGGTTTGAATACCAGTACCACATACAGGTAGAAAGAAAAGAAAAAGGAAGAAGTGAAAATCTCAGGTAAAATAAAAACTGAAATTAAAGATAAGAATGATAACCAAGGGCTGGAGAGATGGCTCAGAGGTTAAGAGCACTGACTGCTCTTCCAGAGGTCCTGAGTTCAATTCCCAGCAACCACATGGTGGCTCACAACCATCTGTAATGAGATCTGGCACATTCCTTCTTCTGGAATGGGCAGACATACATGTAGGCAGGAATGTGTATTCATAATAAATAAATCTTAAAAAAAAAGAATGGTAACCAATCATTGGTCGTACATGTTATCCCAGCACTCAGAAGGTGGAGCCAGGCTTTAACTACATAGTGAGTTCAAGGTCACCCTCACCTACAAAGAGTTAGGTCGGTAGGTAGTAATCATAAGCATGGTGATGCATGTCTACAACACCAGAGCATGGAAACTGAGGAAGGAAGCTTATGGCTTTGGGTCTAGCTTTGGCCACATAGTAATTGAGGCCAGCTTGGACAATGAAATAAAAGTTTGTCTTTAAATTTGTATCGTTATTATTATTATTATTTTGGTTTTTGAGAGAGGGTTTCTCTGTGTAGCTTTGGAGGTTATCCTGGAACTTGCTTTGTAGACCAGGCTAGCCTCAAACTCATAGTGATCCTCCTGCCTCTGCCTCCCGAGTGCTGAAATTAGAGACCTATGCCACCTCCACCCAGCTAAATTTTTTTTTGAAGGGCTGGAGAGATGGTTTGGTGATTAAGAGCACTTGTTGCTCTTGCAGAGGGCCAGGCTCATTTCTTAGTACTCACATGATGACTCACAACCCATCTGTAACTCCAGTTCCAGGAGACCTGATGCTCTTTTCTGACCTCCTCAGGCACCAGGCGTGCATGTGGTGCACATGCATGCTGGCTAAACACTCATGCACATACAGTAAAATAACAGTTCTGTAAAGAAAGGTTCCTCCTTGCCAGGCTGATCCCACAACTGCTTCATCCCCAAATAAACACACAAAGACTTATATTAATTATGAAACTGTTGGCCAATGACCAGGGCTTCTTATTGGCTAGCTCTGTCTTAATTATTAACTCATTTCTATTAATCTATATATTTCTACATGATCCTATCTTACGGGAGAATGCCTGGCATGTCCTGCCCTCCTGGGCTCCACATGGCAACTTATCTGGTGAGCCCTCTCTGCCTGCCTTTCCCAGAATTCTCCTTGTCTCCTAGCCCTGCCTATCTCCTGCCTGGCCAATCAGTGTTTTATTCATCAACCAATAAAAGAAACATATATACAGAAGATATCCCCATCACAGTTCTTTGAAATTTAAATAAAAATTTAAAAAATGAAAGAAAGCCAGGCATGGTTTGTACACCTTTAATACTAGCATCTAGGAGACAGAGTTAGAGAGAGAGAGAGAGAGAGAGAGAGAGAGAGAGAGAGAGAGAGAGAGAGAGAGAGAAAGAGAGAAAGAGAGAAAGAGAGAGAGTGTGTGTGTGTAATCTTTCTGAGTTTGAGGCCAGCCTAGTCTACATCATAAGTTTCAGGCCAGCAAGTACTGCATAGTGAGAATGTGTCTTTAAAATAAAAGTAAATGAGCTGGGTGATGGTGGCGCACACCTTTAATCCCAGCTCTCGGGAGGCAGAAGCAGGCAGATCTCTGAGTTTGAGGCCAGCCTGGTATACAAAGTGAGTTCCAGGACAGCCAGGTATACAGAGAAACTCTGTCTTGAAAAACTTTAAAGACAGAGACATGCCGGGCGCATGTCTTTAATCCCAGCACTTGGGAGGCAGAGGCAGGCGAATCTCTTGAGTTCAAGACCAGCCTGCTCTACAAGAGCTAGTTCCAGGACAGCCTCCAAAGCCACAGAGAAACCCTGTCTTGAAAGAAAAAAAAAAGATAAGAGACAGATAAGAAATCTTAAAAAAAAAATACTGTGGGAAAAACAGGCATTACGGGAATTAAAGCTAATGAGAATAAATGGTCATACTCTTCTATTGCCAAGGATCTTGGCTATTATGCTCATATTTGTGTTTGTGATACATAATACATAATAGGTACTCAATAGATATTTGATGAATGTTCATGAAATCACTAACATTTTGAAGTTTGATGTACATTTTCAGTGATTCTTATAGTTAAATTGTATTTGTGTTTTCATCTTATGAACACTGTATCTAAATGATCTTAGACATTGGATCTGAAGGGTGTGATGAATTCATTTATTTTTTTTTAAGGTTAGGATGAGGATGAGTTGTTTTCCTTACTGTAGAAATAATGCATATTTGCTATAAAGAGATGAAGGGGGTGGGAAAGGCCAGCCAGAGAGGGCTTAGTGGGTAGAAGCTTCCAAGCCAGGAGGCCTGAGTTTAATCCCCAGAGCCTGTAAAGACAGAGTGAACTGGCTCCACAAACTTGCCCCCTGACATATACACCACATATACATATCATGCACACATGGTGAATTATAAAAATTTACAAAGAAAAAGAAGATGTTAGAAGGGGCAGAAGTAGAAAATACCCAGAGGTTGGAGAGATGGCTCAACAGAGTTCTGTGACTTTGCCAGAGGCCTGAATGTCAGTACCCAGCATTCACATCTGGTGGCTCACAAAAGCCTGTGACTCCTGCTCCAGGAGATTCAAGGGCACTTGCACACATATAGCATTCTAAATCACATTTTCATTCTATCATCTATCCACCCATCCATCCATCCATTCACCCACCTACCCACCCACCCACCCACCCCTTCATCCGTCCCTGTCTCAAAACACACCTAAAAATCTATTTATTTATTTATTTATTTGGTTTTTCAAGACAGGGTTTCTCTGTGGCTTTGTAGACAGTCCTGGAACTCACTCTGTAGACCAGGCTGGCCTTGAACTCACAGAGATCCACCTGCCTTTGCCTCCCGAGTGCTGGGATTAAAGGCGTGCGCCACCAACGCCCTACTCAAAATTTATTTTATTTTTTAACATGTATGGATATTTTGTCTTCATATATGTCAGAATTACGTTTTTTAAAGAAGAAATTCCCATGGTTTGAGCTAGTGTAGGAACCCTTTGGTTTTGGAAGATAGCTATATTTAAAGATATTATAGCAAAGACCCTCCTTATTCACTTAAGTTTTCCTTCACTATTAGTGGAGGCAAGCAAGGTGTGGTGACACATTCCTGTGTGTTCATATCATTGCTTTTATGTTTGACTATGAACTAGGTTGTGTTATAACAAAGCAACTTTAAAACAAAGAAAAGTGGTCTTGTGAAATGACTCAGCCAGTAAAGCTGCCTGCCACCAAATCAGGTTGCTTGTGTTGTACCCCTCTGGCAGCTTGTCCTCTGACCACCACACTTGAGCCATGGCATATGTGCTAGCTCACACACACTAAATGAAACTTAAAAACAGTTTTTAAAAATTAAGCATTCAAGCCGGGCGTTGGTGGCACACGCCTTTAATCCCAGCACTCGGGAGGCAGAGGCAGGTGGATCTCTGTCAGTTCGAGGCCAGCCTGGTCTACAGAGTGAGTTCCAGGACAGCCTCCAAAGCCGCAGAGAAACCCTGTCTCGAAAAACCAAAAAAAAAAAAAAAAAAAAAATTAAGCATTCAGCCAGGCAATGGTGGTGCACAACTTTAATACCAGCACTCTGAAGGCAGAGGCAGGTGTATCTCTGTGAGTTTGAGGCCAGCCTGGTCTACAAAGTGAGTTCTAAGACAGCCAGGGCTACACAGAAAAACCTTGTCTCAAAAAACACAAAACAAAACAATTGTTTCTACTAATTGTTTCTATTCATAGCACATGCATTGTGAGGGGTTAGAGTTTTCTTTAGATTAATACAGGTACTGTGTATTAATCATGATGATTAATGTAAAAATATCTCAGTGTTTCCTCCACCTGCTCTTGGGTAAGCCAGGGTGTCTGTTCACTTACTTTGGCTTAGTGCCTTTGTTGCTCATCAATACTTTTAAACATTCCTGTGCAGCTAAACTATAAATGTTAAAACATAAATGGGTGCTTACTAACAATTTATCTTATATTCTGAAAGTAGTTTCTTTGTGATATATAAAGAGGTCATAGAATGACTAGATTGTTCAATATAGAAATATAGGTGTGTATGACTTCTTAATGGGGGAAA